CTGACTTATTCATGTTTGTGTGTTTCCGTCCCATCACCTGGGCCACCGTGACTCAGCCCGGCCCACTGGGCGGGTGAGTAACCGGCTGGGGCTGGAGCCAGGCCCTCGGAACAGCCATCTCCCTTCCCGGCCTCAGCGCCCCCATCTGCGGAGCAGACGCGCCCGCTCTGCTCGCCGCGCCGGGGCCGCGGGGCGAAGGCGGGGCTGCGCGTGTGAAGGCGGCAGTGCGGGGCGTGACCCCTGTGCCAGGTCCGGAGCCGGGCCCGCCTGCTCCCGGGCCCAAGCCAGCCCTGAGCAGAGCTGGGACGGCGTGCGGGCCCCGGCCGACCAACCCAGCAGACCCCCATCCCTCCTACTGATTGACTGATTGATCTTTTAAATTTTGGTTTTTAAAATGTATTGATCTGAGAGAGAGGGAAACATCGATTTGCTGTTCCGCTTATTGATGCATTCATTGGTTGATTCTTGTACGTGTCCTGAGTGGGGATCGAACCTGCAACCTTGGCATATAGGTACAATGCCCCAACCAACCGAACTACCCGGCCAGGGCTCCCCCATCCCTCCCAGGGGAACCCGTGCCGGCAGGAGAATGGACTGGAGGGAGGGCGGGGTGGTAAGGAGGGCCCGGCTCACCCACCCCAGACTCCCGCAGGCCGAACTGCCCTGAGGTGGGTAGAGGGGGCACTGGGGGCCCCACGGGGGAGGATTAGGAGAAGGAGCGACTCAGCTGGAGTCAGGCAGGGCAGTCCTCCTGGGGCGGGAGCAGCTGATTTCAGAGTGGTGGGGGCAGGGAATGAGGAAGGGCTGAGTCTGGGGCGAGGAGGAGGAGCAGGAGGTCCCCGTGCAGTGAGCTGGGGGCAGGGGTAAAGAGGCCACAGCTGGTCTGGCTACGAACTGAGGCCGTAAGGAACCGAAGTCTGAGGTCTGAGGTCTGAGGTCTGAGGTCTGATGTCCCTTGTCGACCACAGCCAGCCACTGGTCAGGCCTGCTTCGAAGGGTTTTGAGGCCAGGACTTGGCTCAGTGAGAAAGTGCTGTGATTGACTAGTAATGTCTGCCAGGGACAAAGCATCGCTGACTGGTGACCATTAGTCCTGTTTTCCATATTCTATTTTCTATTTTTAGGCTGGCCCCAGTGGGCTGGGTATGTGGCTAGGAGAGTGGCTGCAGGGACCCAGGAGGGGTGGTTGGCCAAGCGCCCCCTGCCACTGCTGGGTGGGGAGCTGGGGGAAGGAGGAACTATGTCAATCCTCCGAGGTCCCACCCATTGCCCTACACGCTCCCTGGCCGAGGGCAGGCACTCGGGAAAGGCCTGAACACCGGTGGAGGGGAGGCTGCCTTCCTGTCCCTCTGCTTCACTGGCAGCTGTGGGGAGTTCCCACATCTCCCAGGCCCTGGCTGCCGTCCTGCCGGGGCTTGTTCCCTGACACTCCTGGGTGTGACCCTGTCTGCCACCTGCTCCGCAGGGCCCCATCTTCCTGCCCCTCCGCCCTGTGCACCTGGGCAGCGCATGCAGAGGATGAACAGGCACGTGGCTCCCCGGCACCCGAGCTGGCAACAGCTTTCCCATGCCATACTGTCACCCCCCCCAGACTGGCAGCCCCTCTGAGTCCCACCCAGAGCTTGTCACCCTGCGATCCCAACACCAGCTAATAGGGCAGGGTGAGCCAGGAGGGCTGGGGAAGGGGAGCATGGCTTCCACCCCTCAGTAACCACCCTCTGTGGGCACCCCTCCAGAGACAGCGGCAAGTGCCCAGACACACAGGGTCTGTGTGTGTGTGCATGCGTGTAACGGTGCATGTGCACCTACGCTCTGTGTTTTCTACCCTCGAGCACCGGCTCTGTGTCTGTGTGTTTCTGTATACCCACACATGTCCGCAAGCACCTATGGAAAGACAGGTAGGTTTATGTATTGTGTGTGTCCTCACGTGTGTGTAAGGGTGTGTACAGCCAAGGCTCCTCCTGTTCAGGGCAGAGGACTCGTCAGGCCTTCCACAGACATCACCTGTTCTGACTGCAGCACAGGCAGGCCCCTCACCAAAGGGCAGGGAAGAAGCTGTCCCAAGGTTCAGGAGCAAGAGGAGTGACCCCCAGTCTGGGCCTCGGGCTGGGCTCTGATGACACATCTCCCCCAGCAGGGTGCAGCTGCCTGGGGTGGAGGCTGCCATCACAGGCTGCAGGGCGAGGACTGCCCCAGCCCCTGCTCTGCACTCACGGTGGGACGGGAGCTAGACTCCTACCGGGCATCTGCCTTCCTGGAGGCTGGCACCTCAAGTTTGTGCTAGCCTCTCGGGACAGAAGGGCAGGGAACTGACCGACCCTCCTCCCTTCCTCCTCCTTGGGCAAACGCCACTCAAAACACGGTGGCCCATCTCTAAGAAGTCCCCAAACACCAGTGGGAAAAGGAAAGTCTGCTTCTACTATTCTCGAGACATAGCTGCCGGGTCACCAAACCACGCACACACGTGCATGGGGGTGCAGCCCAGCTCACATCAAACATCCCGCTATCACGGTCACGCCTTGCCCTGCGGGGATGGCCCCTTCTCTGGTGGTTCCGGGGCTGGAAGTGTGCAGACAGGGAGGGCCGCTCCTGACTCGCCTCTGGGTTTGGGCCTGGCTCCTGGGCGGGCGGGGAGGGAACGGAGGTGGCAGGGCGGGGAGTGGGCCTGCTGAGCAGGCCCCTCTCCTGCGGGCCTCAGGCGAGAAAGGGTCTGAACCCCGGCAGGAAAGGCCACGTTCCTGAAAAGGGGGCGTGTCTTTGACCCCAAGGCCCTTGGGGCCCCAGGTTCCCTCATCCGGCATCCTGGAGGGAGGCTCACCATGGCAGGGCAAGGCCCTGGGCAGGGACAGCTCTACCCTCTTGCCGTCTGACCGTGAGCAAGTTCCTGCGGTGCTCTAGGCCGTGTAGGTCAGAGGGTTCTGTGCCCCCCGAACCCCCAGCCCCACACACCCGAGGGTGGCTCTCCATGGTCCATTTTACTCAATGTGTCTAGCTGTTCACAGCTGCAGGAAGGGCTTCACTCGGGACCGCAGGCGATGGGGGCCAGGCTGAGTGTGGAGCAGAGACCAGGGAGCCACCCCAGGTCACTCAAGAGGGAATCCTTTCCTCGGGTGGGTGGGTCTTCCTATGCGTGGGGGAGGGGATTGTGGGGGTGCAGGGGAGATTCCAGTTCAGTTGTGCCCCCTGAGAGAGAGCGGTGGTGGCCAGCTCCCTAGGAAGGATTCCCTGGCCAGCAGGCTCTCTCCCCTGGGGGAGGCCAGCCTGGGGTGGGGGGCACTGCTCAGGTCTCTTCTTTGAGTGCTGCCAGCCAAGGGGCCTGTCCTCGGAGAGGCCCTCTCCTGAACGGCAAGGTTTGTGATGGACTGGCTAGGGGCTGTCCAGGCCAGCAATCTCCTACACCTGGGCCACCGAGGCCCGGAGAGGTGAGGACCACAGAGCGCGAGGGCAAGTGGCAGTGCAGACGCCGGGTCCTGGGCCCCTCAGCCCTGCAAGCTCTTTCCAGGGGTTCCAGGGCCCAGGGAGCTAGGCTTTGCCCAGCAACGCCAGGACAGCCATGGGCGATGAGCCCCGCTTTCGACTGCGATGCTGTGGTCTTTCTGGGGCTGTGACTGCGGGAGAGACCTCTGCATCTTTGCGACCCAGCTCTGTGGCCCGGGATGGAACGCTTCAGGTAGACTATCCTTTGCAGGGAACACGGCGGGGAGCGAACGCCTCCAGGGCCGCCCCTCTCCGTGCCTTCCGGTCCGCAGAAAACTCAAGCCGTCCGTGTTGCAGGAACCTCCCCCCCCCACCCCGCCGCCCCCTGCCCCAACCTCTCATCCCACTCCCTCCAGCGGGCAGTGGAGGCGAGGTGTCCGTGAGCCGACTAGCCTCGGGCAGAGTGGGAGGGGTAAACCCGAAGGAGGTGGGGGCCCTTTGCCCGGCGGGGGACGGGCCAGACTAACCACCGGGTCCAGCCGCTAGCTCCCAGACTCCGCAGGAAAAGCGCGGCAGACTCTGCGCACGCGCGCCGCTCGAGTCCAGCCGCTTTGTTCTAGCGCTACCTGCGGCTCCATTCACCTCCTCTGCCCCGCCCGCTAGCGAGCCGCTAAGAAGACCCCGCCCATTCCCGCTCTGGGTGGTACCGGAGGCGAGCCCCGCCCCTCCCTCACACTTCTTCGGCCGCAATTGGCCATCTGCGCGGCGCGCTCCCGCCTACCGCGAAAGTTGATTGGTGCTTTGAGAAGGAGGTAGGAGAAAGAGCGCTGACTGTAAAGGGGTGCTCCTCTGCCCTCCCGCCCCTGTGGAAAAGTCACGTGGCGCTTCACTCCGCGCCTGTCACCACCCAGCTTGGAAAGCTTTCTTAAAGGGCTCCCTCTCTCCTCCCAGGGCTGGTCCTTTCCAGGATTTCTCCACCCCTGCCCACTGTGGGTGGCACAGGCCTGGGCCGTCCTACTCCACCAGCCGCCCAGGTGCTGATTTCCGATCAGGCTAGGTGGGGTGAGACCTCTCGCAGGTCTCGGAGCCTGTAGCCGTCACAGGCACTCTGTAGTCCCCTGAAACGGTGACCGCCTAAACACAGTGCTTGGCACGTAGTAAGCGGTCAATTTCCTTTTGTTGAATGAACGCGCTGAGAAAATGAATGAATAGGGTTGACAGACAGGAAGAGGGGAGGTGGGCTCAGCGTGACCGCCCAGTCCTCGGGGAACTCTGCTTCTGTTAATGAATCTGGCGAGGGGAGGTCAGGCTCAGAACGCCCCCTTGTAGCGCCGTTAGGGTCGGGCGAGCAGGTTATAGGAGACACAGGAGGGCGTCTTGGCCGGGCCCTCTAGGCGGGTCATAGCCAGTTCCAGGCCAGGCGAGACCGAGGCGGCGCTGAGTCGCGGCGAGGGCCCGGGCAGACGGGGTCGGGAGCGCGCCCTAGTTTCCCGTGGGGAGGGGCGGCGGAGGCGCGGCTCCTTTAAGCCGGGGCGCCGGCCCCGCAGCCCCGCCCCCCGGAGGACGCCTCAGCGCGCGGCCGCCCGAGCCGCCGTTTAATTGGGGCTGTCAGGCCGCGGCGCGCGCGGAGGGCCGGGCGGGACGGAGGCCGGGAGGCCGGGGCGGCGGGTACGCAGCTCGGCGGGAGGCGGGCGCCCGGAGACGCGGCTGGGGCCCGCGCGGCCGGGGCGCTGTCCCTGGGCAGGGCTGCCCGGCCCCGGCCCCGGGCCACCCGCACTCCCCATGAAAAACCAGCTCCGCGGCCCCCCAGCGCGGGCGCACATGTCGGCCTCCGGGACGTCGGCGACTGGGGACACCGGGGCGGGGTCGGAGCCCGGTGCGGGGTCCGGCGCGGGCACCGGGGCAGGCGCAACGACGGGTGCGGGGGCTATGCCTTGCAAGAGCGCCGAGTGGCTGCAGGAGGAGCTGGAGGCGCGGGGCGGCGCGTCCCTGCTGCTGCTCGACTGCCGGCCGCACGAGCTCTTCGAGTCGTCGCACATCGAGACGGCCATCAACCTGGCCATCCCGGGCCTCATGCTGCGCCGCCTGCGCAAGGGCAACCTGCCCATCCGCTCCATCATCCCTAACCACGCCGACAAGGAGCGCTTCGCCACGCGCTGCAAGGCGGCCACCGTGCTGCTCTACGACGAGGCCACGGCCGAGTGGCAACCAGAGCCCGGCGCTCCCGCCTCTGTGCTTGGCCTGCTCCTGCAAAAGCTGCGCGACGACGGCTGCCAGGCCTACTACCTCCAAGGTGAGGGCAGCACCGAGACCCCGTCCTGGACTAGCGAGCCTCCGTGGCTTCCAACGCCCCTGCTGGAGGCTGCTTTCCGTCCACGCGCCCAGCCTGTCCCGTAGGCGCCACGTCGCCCCCGGCCCACATCCGCCCCTCCCTGGAGCCCTGCCCCAGCGGTTTATCCTGGTTGGGGGGCCCCTTCTGCACCTCTTTCCGGGTACAATTCCAGAGGACCTGACAAACTTTCCCCCTTCTGGGCTTTCCTTTTTAACTGTTGCTGGCGCCATGGCAGCGCCCAGCTTCCAGCTGAGCCCCTTGGAGAAGGGAGGCGCCCCTCCTGGGACACCCCCCCAAAAGCGACAGGGCACCCAAGGCCAGCTCCTCCAGCCTGGAAATGCATGTCCCTGAAAGTCCAGGGTTCAGACGGGATCCTCTCTCAGCACCACCCCCAGGGCATAGGGACTGCTTGGGTTGGGGGACTCCAAGCATTCCCGCAGGTATCTCCCTGGCTGGGGATCACCGCCTCTTGGAGGCATCTGGGCGGGGGCTGTGAGTAGTAGTATCCCTGGCTCCAGCCCTGGGTTCCCGCGGCTCTGTCCCCAGCCTGCTGGCCAGAGCTTGCAGAAGGGGGAGGCAACACTGGGGGGCGAGTGGCTGCAGCCGGTGTTTCCAATTAACATTCCAAAATGGCCTCTCGCTGGCAGTGGGGCGGGCAGGGAAGGGAGGGGAGGGGAGGCCTGCGGCACCCTCGGGCGCAGGGCCCATGCCTCACTGCAAGGCATTCCCCATTTCTTGTCCCTGTAAAGCCCCCAGTGGCCCTCCTGCTCTGTGAGTCCAAGGCTCTGGGGGGGGGGGGCTGGTCTTGTATTCTAAGTGGGGGATTCTGGAAAGGTAAAGCTGGGACCTCTTTTATGAACCTGCCCCTGCTGGGGGAAAGGACCAGCCAATACTGTCACTCTGCTCTCCCTGACTGTGGTTGGGGGTGGGGGACAAGCCCTGGACTCCGGGTCAGGAGGCCAGGCCCTCTCTGCCTCTGACCCAGACACACCTCTGGCCTCTGCAGTGTCATCCGGAACAGAGGTTTGCGAACCCACAGGTGCTGGCCTGTGGTGGGGTTGTCTGCTTTCCTTTATCACTGAGCCATTATTGGGCACCCGTGGGTGCCAGCTGCACAAAGGAGCTGCAGCAGAGGGATAAGCTGGAGCTTGTCCTCAGGTGCCCTAAGGGCGGTGGTGTGACTGGGGCCGTGAAGCCTCATGAGTAATGGCGTGGAGCTCAGGCATGTGACTTTACCTCCTGGGGCCTCAGTTTTCTCATCTGTGAAGTGGGTCATAGGATAGATGGGGAGAAAACGGGGAAGATGCACGTGTAACGTATGTGGTGTGGCCTGCGTTGGCTGCTAGTGGCGCTTGACACGCGGACCCATGGCCACTGTCGTTGGTCTGGGGCAGCCAGTTTGGGCCGGGGTCGTGGGCTGGCGGCACGGGCAGCCCCTCACCCAGGCCCCGTCTTGCCCCGGCCACAGGTGGTTTCAACAAGTTCCAGACAGAGTACTCCGAGCACTGCGAGACCAACGTGGACAGCTCGTCCTCGCCCAGCAGCTCGCCGCCCACCTCCGTGCTCGGCCTGGGGGGCCTGCGCATCAGCTCCGACTGCTCGGACGGCGAGTCCGACCGAGAGCTGCCCAGCAGCGCCACCGAGTCCGACGGCAGCCCCGTGCCGTCCAGCCAGCCGGCCTTCCCCGTCCAGATCCTGCCCTACCTCTACCTCGGCTGCGCCAAGGACTCCACCAACCTGGACGTGCTGGGCAAGTACGGCATCAAGTACATCCTCAACGTCACGCCCAACCTGCCCAACGCCTTCGAGCACGGGGGCGAGTTCACCTACAAGCAGATCCCCATCTCTGACCACTGGAGCCAGAACCTCTCCCAGTTCTTCCCCGAGGCCATCAGCTTCATCGGTAGGTGTCGCGGCGCCCTGGGCGGGGAAGGCGGGGCGGGCGCGTCCAGGTGTGTGCGGGACTCTGGGTGTCATCCTCGCCTGACTGGGTACCTCTGGGCCTGTCGAGGCCTGCGTGCGCCCTGCATGTGCCGGCATGTGCCCATGGGCGCACCCGTGCCTGCCGTGCGTCACCGGAGCCCTCGGGGTTGAGCGGTGAGCCCCCTGAGTCCTGGGCGCGTCGCAGCCTCTGCTGTCCAGCCCGGGCTTTTCGGGCTCCGCTGTTCGGGGCCGAGCAAGCTGGAACATCACCGCTCCAAGACCTCCCACGGGTCCCGCTGGCTCTGCATCACGCCTCAGCACACGTGTCTCTCCAGGATGGGGCTGTCACGGCGCCTGTTCGGGCTTTACTGTGTACCTGAGGGGGCTGCCTCGTGGCCTGCAGCCAGAGGCCTACTCAAAACAGGCAGCTGTTGGAATGAGGGTCCCCGGAGTGCCTGGTGGGGCCCCAGATGGTCCCCGCAGCCGGGGGCGCTGGTGCGGAGCGTGGGGTGCAGAGAGAATGTGAGAGGAGGCTGACGAGGGCCTCCCCCGGGGCGGCGTGATCTGCTCTTTGGCTTAGCGCCCTCTGAGCCCCTCCAGCCCCACCTCAGCTGACTCCGGCTTATCTCCGACCCCCCACCCCGCTTCCTCCTCAGCCAGCTGGAGACCCCCCCTCCACCCGGGCGGCAGGGAAGGGACGCGGGGTGAATGGAGACGGAGGGTTCTCTGAGCCCGGTGCTCCTGCCCAGCCCCCGATGGCAGGGAGGCAGTGGCCAGGGCAGAGTCTCCCGCTGGCGCTGGCGGCCCTGTTCCGCGGAGGGCGTTTTGGTGTCAGCTGGGCTGGGCTAGCTTTAATAACAGGAAGTGGGAGGCTTCGCTGCCTCATCCGCTTACTGGGAACCAAAACTAGGTGCCTGGCTGGGAGGGAGGGAGGGAGGAAGGAAGGAAGCCGAGGCCTGGGGGAGGGGCTGGGGCTGCCCGGAGCTTCCCCGCCCGGAGCAGGAGGGGAGCAGGAGGACCTGGACCCTGGGGCCATGGCCCTGCCTCAGTGCTGTCGTCCCCCCAGTGAGGGAGGGGAGTGGAGGGGGATCCTGGATCCCCCAGGGCTGAGCCTGGCTTGTGGGTGTCTTTATCCTTCTTGAAGACCCCTCTACACCTGGGGAGGGGACAGAACAGAGTATAAGGGGGGGGCACATTACCCCCCAGTTGGCAAGTGAAGGACTTGAGGCCCACGCATCATAGGACTCAGAGGGACTCAGTGGGACCAGACCCAGCACCAGCCCCCCACTGCTCAGCCACACCCTGAGAGAGCTAAAAATAAAGCCAGCGGAAGCGGTTTCGCTTTGGATCACTCGGGAGTGGGTTGGGGGGTCAGGCGTTGCCATATCCTGATGTGTCACCGCCGGGGGCTCGTCTCCGCCACCCCCTTGCGCCCCAGATCTCAAGGTCAGACCACACAGTTCCACTTGAAGCCGAGGCATCTGCCTTCCCCTGCTGCTCTCTCCCCGCCTACTCCCTGAGCCTGGGTTAAGCACCTACTGTATGCTAAGCCCTGGGCACCCTGCAGTGGGGGTGCGGAGGGGAAGCTCTGGCCGGCGCAGGCGTGAGCACCAGAGGAGGGGCCCTCCGAGGACCCGTGGGTCTATGTGCGGGAGTGCACCAGCGGAGTGCCGGCTGTATGCCTGGCTCCTGGGGGGCTCGCAGGCAGGGCGGTGGGGACCCTGAGGGCCCAGGGCTGTCCCTTATTAATCTGTGCCCCTCGTACAGCTGCGGCGCGGAGAGGGAAGGAGAGATGATAAGATGGAGGTGTTCCGTGGCCCGACCAGAGCTGCTGGGCTCTGCTGTGGGCGAGGCAGGCGTGTGGGGGGCCGGGTGGGGGCGGGGCGGGGTTGGCCACACTGGGTCGGCCTCTGGGCCTGCTGGGGGGCGGCTAGTGAGTGGGTGGGCGGGCCCACTGAAGCACACGCCACTTGCGACAGCCCCGGCCCGGCCCTTGTCCCAGGGCCCGGCTGCTCAGAAGCAGGACTAGCTCGCCAAGGGCTGCTGGGCGGGCCCGGCCATGCTCCCTTGGGGAGGGGGTACCCCTGGGGGGCCCCGGGAGGACGAGCTCGCTGTGGTGGGTGCCGTGACTTAGGGGGACTCTGTGTGGCCTGGAGCTGGCCATTTTGCCTCTGTGTCCGTTTCCTCGTTTCTAAAGTCAGCTCACTAGTAGCCGTGGTGCAGACGACCCAAGAGGGTGCCAGGGACGCCCTTGGCTCACTGGCACGACCGCCGTGGCAGCGTCAGGACTAGCCGTGGTCCTCGCGGTCACTCGGGTCCCGGCAGGACCTCTGCGCAGAGAGGGCCCATTCTGCAGATGAGCAAGTCGGAGCACAGGGACGTCCAGTGACGGCACTACCATGTGGTCTCCCACATGGTCACGCCCTTGACCTTTACCCCAGGTGCTGCCCCCGCCCCCCCAGCGGGGGACCCCACCGGGTCTCTCGGGAGTCAGGCGGCGCCCTCCGGTGACCCCGCCGCCCTCTGGGTCCCAGCCCTGCCCGTGGCCCCTTGGAGGAGGCGCCCGCTGACCCGTGCCCGTGTGTTCCAGACGAGGCGCGCTCCAAGAAGTGTGGCGTCCTGGTGCACTGCCTGGCGGGCATCAGCCGCTCGGTGACCGTCACGGTGGCCTACCTGATGCAGAAGATGAACCTGTCGCTCAACGACGCCTACGACTTCGTCAAGAGGAAAAAGTCCAACATCTCACCCAACTTCAACTTCATGGGGCAGCTGCTGGACTTCGAGCGGACGCTGGGGCTGAGCAGCCCGTGTGACAACCACACCCCCAGCGAGCAGCTCTACTTCTCCACGCCCACCAACCACAACCTGTTCCCGCTCAACACCCTGGAGTCCACGTGAGGCTGGGGGCGCGGGTGGGCAGGGGGCCGGGCCCTCCGCAGGGAGCCCGAGGAACCCGGCCATCGCCTGCGCCCCGGGGCCCGGGCCACCGGGCGGCTGGGCCGCCCCACCGTCCTGGGGCGGGCAGAGCCCACAGCTGGCTGCCGCCGTGTGCAGGACCCCGGAGAGGCAGGTCCGGGGCTACGGGGGCCCGGTGGGCTCCCCCCACCCCCAGGGCTCTCCTTCCTGCTGACGCCCGGCCAGTTCGGCGTTTTTTTAAAGACACCCACGGACCCCAGTTTACCTTCCCCTCTTGGCAGGTGAGTCCGAGCTCCCTGGAGCACAGGCGGTGGTCACGGTCTTCTCAGTTTTGTTTTGTTTTTTTTTTTTTAATGAAAAGTGTTATTTTCAGGCACCATGCAACCGTGGATTGTATAAACCAGTATTTCATCCCTTTCTTGATCTTGCGAGAGAGAGAGACGTGTTCTCAGTTCTGTTTTTTAAAAAGCAATTACTGTTGGGGTTTTTTGTTTGTTTGTTTGTTTGTTTCCTTTTTTTATTGGGAAAGACAGACTCGGTGTTGATCTTGACCAAATGCGTTTTGCACACGTGTGAAGCCTCTGTGTCTGCAGCAGGCCCTTTTCGAGGGGGGTGGGCGGCCCGCGCCATCTCCTCGTGGGACCCCTGTCGTGCCCAGGGGCCCGGCCTGGCGCCAGCCTGCAGTGGCCTGCGGTGACGGCTGCAGGTTGTGCCAGGCGGGCCGGACGAGTGGTCTTTGCATTCTCTGCCCTGCCCTGCCTGCTCCGGTGGTCCCTGCAGACTACCCCCCTCAACCCCAGCAGGAGCCGGGCGGCTTTGTAGCTGCCCTGCTGGCACGGGGCCTCGGGGGGGACTGTCCAGCAGTAGCATTAGCCTTCCGGGCTCGGCCCCCCCGAGGGCCTGGGCCCCGGGCCCTTTTCTACACAAACCCACTACTTCTGTCTCTTCCTCTCTGTTCCTTTGTGACCGAGAGCGGAGGCCCCCCCCACCCCCGCCCCCGCGCGTCAGGGGAGGCTCCGGGGGTGGGGGCCTGGCCCCAGCTGTTCCTTCGGTTCTGCTGCCGCTCCTGGCCCCCTGGTCCCAGCGGAAGCCTGCCCCAGTGCCCCCGTCGCCCATGCCGTCCGCCGCCGGGAACCTCGTCCCCCTGGTGCAGCCCCTGGGCAGGCGCAGAGGGCGGGGACGGGCCGGCGAGAGGGCGCGAGGCTCTGGCCCCCGAGGCCCACCACCGGCACCCACAGAACAAAGCCACGGATTCCGTTACCCTCCTCCGGTTGCGTTCCTCCTCCAGCCCCGGCTCTGCCAGGGGGCTGGGCTGCGGGGGCCGGGCGGGCGCGGCCAGGCGGCCCCCCCCCTCCCCGAGCGAGCCGGCGCCGGCCCCGCTGCATCTTACCTCACGGGGTTGTTTCAGGGATTCTTCAAGGCAGCGGGTCCACAACTTGCCACATTCGAGAAATTGACAGAAGCTTCCGTGCTGTACGTGGTTCTCTTTCTCTCTCTTTTTTACTTTTAAGAAGAAAAACCCAGAAAGATGCATCCGCTTTGTGTAAATGAGAGTATGCCAAGAGCGCGGCCAGTTTTGCTTTATGATGTGTTATGAAGGAAAATTTGTGACCCTGCTTATGTACACACACACACACACACACACATACATATATATATATATATATATCCCGGACCAGCTACGGGACTTTGTTTATATTGCAAATAAATATTATTTTTTCTTTAAAGTGAGTCGTGGTGTCCGCCGGGGGCCGGGGGCCGGGACGCTGGGGCCCACGTCCCCGCACCTGTTTTGTGTGAGGCGACGCCAAGGGCCTGCCGGGCACCTGCTCTGACCGGTCAGAGGTGCCCACCACCTGGAGGAGCCGCCACGCCTCTGGTCAACGCTGGGTGTGGGCATTCCTCTGGGCGCGCCCGGCGGGCCATCGGCTTTCTCTGTGGGCTTTGCGGATCAGTGGACGGAAGGAGCTTGGAGAGGTTTCATGGACCGAGGCCCCAAGGACGGGCCCCTGCTCACCCAGAGTCACCGGAGGCTGGCAGCTTAGACATCGCCCGGCTCGGGCCCGGGGCGCTGCCATGCTCCGCCTCCACAGCCCCTGGAACCGGACCCTCCGCTGCTCCTGTGTGTGCGGGGGGGGGGGCGTTGCACATTCATCGCTCTCTTCCCCTGCCCCCGCAGCCTCTGGGACACCGGTGGGACACGCAACAACCTGGTCTGGGACAGGTCGGCCTGCTTTGCTCCCTTGGAGCGAGGTGGCCTCCGACAGGCCCCCAGCCTGAGCCCGTTTCCGTCCGTCCAGTGGGGCCGGTCGCACGCACCTGCCCGGTGCTTTGTGTGTTCACTGCCTGGTCGGCCTGGGCCCCCCGGGGGAGCTGGCGCCCGTGCAGCCCCTCTGGCTCCCGGGGGGAGCCGGCTCCCGGAGCTGGCAAGGAGGCAGAGGGCAGGCGCTGTGAGCAAAGGGGCCTGGGTCTGAGTCCCAGCCGTGTGGGTGCCGGCACCTCGCCCCTCCCGCTCAGGAGGGGGGACCTGCCGTGCGGCCGGCAGGCCTGGGGAGGAGGGGCGGGGGGTGCTTGCAGTGTTGGCAAAGGGGCCGGGGCCACTTTCACTCTTGGGCTTCCTCAGGGCCCTGGTCCTTCTGTGCCAGGGGTGGGAGAGGGGGTGGGAGGCAGGGCAGGCAGAGACTGGGCCTTTGTTCCCTCTCCCCGCCCCGGGTCAGGGCTGGGGAAGCCCTCCGGCGCCGGCCGGGGGCTGGGCCTGGGCGGGCTGAGTAAGTGCCTGGCAGTGCCAGCATGCCCCAGCACCGGATGGAGGGAGGCAGCCCTCGGGAGCGAGGCCACCCCCACGGGGCCCTTGCCAGGCTGGTGGCCTCTCTGACCCCCGGTGTCCTCATCATAGAAGCCTGCACCTCCACAGGTTGCTGCAGCTCCAGTCTGGCGGGAGAGGAGGGCCAGTCCCGTCTGGGGCTCACGGGGACCTGGGGCTAGGCCACGCCCACTCTGGACTGCTGTTCGCTCCCTGGGGTCCCGCTTCTCGCCTCTCTGGGGTCCGTCTGATCTGGCTCATGGCTGTCTTGGAGCTTGTGCCCCACTCCTGGCTCTGCTAGCCCCCCACCCCGGGTCCTGTGCAGCCCAGGACACCTCTGGCTGAGGCCACGGCCATTTCCAGTGCTGGCGGGGCGGCCCAGGAGTGGGCGCTCGCCCGAGGGAAGCTCAGTGATGTCATGTAGGGGGGCAGGGGGGCAGGGGGGCGGGCCCTCCCTTGTCCTCTGATGAATGAATCAGGTGCCACAGCAGCGGTGACTCAGCCAGGCACAAGAAGGGGCTTGCAGCACCCCGGAGCAGTCACCTCGCAGGAGGTGACGAGGAGACCACGGAAGGTGGGAACATTTCCTTAGGGCGGGCCTGCTGGGAACCTGGGAGCAGCCCTTGGGAGAGCCGCCACCCCCACGGCCCCTCCCAGAGCGCAAACACAGCCGTCCCTCGAGAAGGGGCGGGGGAGGGGGTGGGCATCGGGCACAGAGCCCGAGATGGCCCTGGCCCCTCCCCAGCCGCTGCCGCTGCCCGGCACACTCAGACCTGCCCTGACCCTGTCTGCGCGGGGCTGCCTTCCACACCTGAGCAGGTACGCTGGCAGCAGCAGCCCCGGCACACAGCCCTTCACCAAAGAGAGCCTGATGGGGACCCAGGTTCGTCTGGAGGAGGATGCCAGCATAACCTCTGGGCACCCCGGGAGCCTGGGCAGCATGGCGGGGCATCTGGTCTGACCTTGGACGCGTTTACCCTGCTTGTTCTGGGCCTCAGCTGGGCACAGCCCGCTCACTGGCCCCCAGAGGCCTGCTGGGGTCACCCCAACCCGCTCCCAGTGCCCAGCAGACCCGAGTCCAGGGGGTGGTCGGAGCCCTCCCGCTCCCCCCAGCCCATGCGGACGGGAAGAGCGAGGCGCAGAGGGGGGTCACGGGGTGAGACGGTGCAGAGCGAGGCTTCCCCACATCCTCCTCCCCCTCCATCCGGCCGGGGGCCCCTGCCTCGGTCCTGGGAAGAACCAGAGACTCACACATGGCCGCGCACCGCACCCACACACACGGCGCCCTCATTTCCGAGACAGAACGAGCCCACACAGGTCTCCCAGGGACGGAGCCGCCACCTGGCTCTGACTCCAGCCTCCCGTCACCGGGGCGCGGCCTGAGTGAGGTCACCTCCGCCCCCGCAGGGCCGTGAAGGACCATCATCGCCACGCTCCCCAGGGAAGACGGGTCCTCGGTCCCATCGTCTTTGGCTGGCCCGGATGAGCCCCGACAGGCCACAAGGGATGCCAGCCCTTCCCCGGGGCCGCCCACTGCACACCTGCAGGGGCCGGCGCCGGCCCAGCCCCCTCGGGCCCTCCAGGCCCACACCCTCTCCTCTACCCGATCCTGCCACCCCTGCTGCAGGCAAAGGGGCCGCTGAAGCCCCTTCTCCGGGGCTGGACGGGCCGGGGACAGCCGGGTCATAGTCCAGGGCACAGGGTTGGCGGGGTCTGGCTGTCACCAGAAAGATCCCCTGCTGCCAAGTGGAGAACGGCCCGAGGGGCAAGTGTGCAGGACAGGGGACAGGGAGGAGGCCGGGGTGGCCCCTTCGGGGGGACGGTGGGCACCGGCCTCTGTGGCATGGGAGGGCCAGGGGAGAGGAGGACCAGCGAGGCCGGAGCCTCTGGGAGGAGGGGCTTGAGGTGCGAGGAGAGGCCCCGGCTCGCCTGACTCCCTGTCCGAAGGCCAGCCACCGAGCCGAGGAGGACGGTGCGTCTCAGCCGGGGCCTCCGTGGGCTCAGGGTGGCGCCGTAGCCACTGGTCCAACTGTGCCCAGCCCCTCTGTGGCCGGGCAGCCGTCGCTGCCCTGCCCCGTGAACTTGGACCAGCCCGCTCCCCCATGCCGTCCTCGGGTCCCCCATATGCACAGGCAAGAAGTAAGCGGTGGCCCCGAGGGATCTGGCGCCCAGCCCGGGGGTCCAGCTGTGTCCCAAGGGCTGGACAGCCTGGCACTGTAACCCAGGAGCCAGTGCCGCCCGAGTGGAGGAGGCTGGAGTCCAGGGTGGGGGCCTGGGTGGGGGGCCTCGGGCCGGGCCCCCTGAGGACATTTGTCCTGGCCTCACCTGCCCAGGGAACTGCCCCACAGGGGCCCTTGGCCCTGAGGCTCAGAGAAGTTTAGAGTCCTGACAAGCCAGAGGGCCCCCAGGTGAGCCCTGGCCCCTGGTCACAGGGGCACGGGCCACCCCTCTAAGCTGCCGGCCCCTGTCTGGGGACGGTCTGAGCGTGGGTTCAAGGTGTCCTCCCGGGGCCGCCGGCCAGGCCAGGCCAGGCCCGGGTCTGCCCCCTCTCCCTCTGTGTCCTTGCTCGGCCCCCTCCGTCGCTTGTCCCAAGTCCCCCCACTAGCCCTCTGAATCCCTGAGCCCCGCCCTCCTTGCACCCCGACCTCGGTGAGCCGGGAACCGAAGCTGGCTGGGGGCTGCTGCCCTTCCCTTGGGCCGGGAGCCTAGCCCGGAGCAGGGGCTGGGCTTCCTGGTGGGGGAGCGGCAGCAGCACAGGCCCGGTCACTCTGGCCTCGGGTCCTGGAGGCAGGCCCCTGAAGCGCTGTCCGCTGCCCCTGGGAGGGAGGCAGGGCGGGCAGCGGGACACGGCGGCCTATCACCACCCCCGGTCGGCGACTCCAGGGGCAGCGCCCTTCGCAGGTCTGGCCCTTGTGCCCAGAGGTGGCGACTCCGGGGCACACGCCTGGGCTCCGTCTTCCCGGGGGGGCTGCCGAGAGGGAGGCAGGACCCTTGGTCTTGCTGTTCGGCGGTCGCTGTGGAGGAAGCGGAGGCGTCCCTCACGGCCGCCCTGCCTGGGAGCAATGCCGCTGCCAGTTCCGATCCTCGGACACCTCCAACTGTAGTAGGGGCGATGATAACACGTGCGCACACGCCACAGCGGTCTCTCACACACACGTGAGAGTGACAATGACACGTGCACGCTTGTAACAGTAACAACACAAGAGTAATAATAGCGTGTGCACACACGTAACAGTCATAGTAACACACACAGAAGAGTAATAATCTCACACACACACACACACACACACACACACACACACACACAGGGCCCTAGCTCCGGGGCCTGAGTCCCGCTGCCTTGACCTGATAAGCTCACGTCACCCTCCCAGCAGCCCCTGGAGCAGGAGCCAGTCACCCCGGCCAGCAGACAGGGAGCAGCAAGCCGGGGAGGGGCAGGGCTGGGGCCCGGCGCGGGGCTGGCCGACTCCGGAGCCCCTGCTGGCAGCTCACTGCCCGGCCTGAGAGAGGGCGGCCCTGGGCCTCGGAGCCCGTGACTCCGCCCAGTCCTCATGCCACCTGGGCCCCCTCCCCAGGAAAGCAGCATCTGAGGGAGGAGTGACAGCCCCCTTTTTGGAGGGATCGGGCTGCACCCCTGGACCAGACACGGAGGCAGAGAGCTGCCAGCCGCTCGGGTGGCGGGGCGGGGGGGGCGTGGCGTGGGAGGGAACGGCGGGTCAAGGCCGTCCTGCAGTGCACGGGCCGGAGGGGTGGAGACTCAGGGTCCCCCGTGCTGACAGGGAAGGGGCTCTGGGGAGCCCCCCAGAGGAGGGGGCATCTGTCAGCGAAGAACCCCGGCCTTCCCTGCCTCCGGGCCTTTGTATACGCCCCTTCCTCCTCCTGGAACTCTGCGCGTCACCTACCGCCTCCTTCGAGCGG